AATCACCATATAACCAATAATAATTATTTTTTGGGGGTGTGTAGAGTAGTAGGCCTCCCCATAGTGCACCTTGGGTAATGCTAAATCTAAGGTATTCAGAAGTAAATTTAATGGTTTAAGTGCAAAGAACATGATATTTAATAAATAAAGTTAACACACAAACTGTTAAAAAAAACTTCCCTTTGAACGTAATTTAAAATCTGAAACCTTTCAGATTTAAAAAAAGAAATTAAAAATTTTTAAGTCTTGCTTTATTATTAAAACATATTGTAATGTCAAATTAGGAGGAAGCTTATGCAACAGCATATATAAATAAACTTTGAACTTAAAATGAAGAGTGCATTTTAAATGAAAAAAAGGAAGCAATACCAATAGTAAACCTAGTTAATTATTTATTTTTTGTTGAAATCCCAACTTTAAAAGGTAGTCTTCCGGAAAGGGTTAATAAATAAACTAAAAACAGACAATTTAAAAGATTTATCTTTTATGTCTCAATGCATCATACACAGGGCTGGCGTTAGGCGTTTTTCCATTTGATGGAATGTATGTGGATCCTTAATCCTGCTGCCTAGCGCATTCCTAAATTTTAAAACTCTTAACATTTCTAGATTTTGTTGTTCAGTGTGTCAGTAAATTCTAAAAATTCTGCCACAGTGGCTTTGTAACTGGCCCTTCCCATATATAATTTCATATTTATCCTGAATATTTGTATTATTAAAGGAAAAAAAAATTATCACCTTTTCCTATCCACTCTAAATGCATTTAGATTTTTAAAACAAAAATCTCTAATTAAATCTAGAAATTCTAAAATGAAGAGGACGTGTTGAAGAAAGAAACCAAATACATTTAGAGAAAGAAAAGTATTCTTCAAAGATACGTACAGTTATTATGTGAATTAAGCAGTTGTGTATATAATTTCAAGCCTTTACTATAATTTCCCCTTTCCTTTTCCTCATCAGAATACAAGTCACATAGATAATTTTTAAACTAAAGTTTTGAGGTTGTAAGACGGAATTTATTTCTGCCCTCCACCTGCACGCTGCATTAGTTTCTACCAGCTATGATAATTTGTACTGATTTTTCTTTGCGTTATCGCTGCCAATATTTGAATTTGTTATGAGGATAACTACGTTACGACGAGTTTGTTAGGACAAGTTACTGAGCCAGCTTATATTAAAATTAAATTGGATAGTCTTTAACTACTAGTCCACATTTTTAGTTTGAATTTGACTGTTCTGTTTGATTAGATCTCAGCAAGCTGTAGTTGATTTTGCTAGCATAATACCATGCCTTTATGTCCTAAGTTCTTTTTAAATAAGAGGTTTGTATAGACCTTTATATGACTTTGTAGTTATTTCCAGACATAGCGACATGCTTCACATCTGTCAGGTATGTTGGAATATTTAACTTTTACCAGATCAAGTAAATCCTCACAGGTACTTAGTCAAGAGATCAACAAGTTAGGAGATAAAACATGCAGAAGCTAGTGGGAATGTTGGTTTGCATATTGAAACAAATTTCTGATTGTTAGAAAAGATGCTTAAAGGCTTCAAATTAAAAAAAAATATATAAATATTTTGTTGAGTATTGGTGCTAAAAACTTAAATGTTTTGTAGCTTTGGAACTTTAAAGTATATTAACCGGGTTACAACCCCAGGAACTATACACAGACCTATGACACTAACTGCATCAGATAGGCAGAACACAACTTAACTTTCAAAACTTGCCAACCATGCCTACATCATGCTTTCACGTTTGTTCTTATCAGCAGTTCTCTCTCTAGGCAAGCAGCAGTGTTGGCAACAGCTAGTCTTCTGTTACGAAACATGCTGATTATGATTTTATGTCTCATTTTAACATATGCTGTTTGACATAAAATCTACCTGCTATTTATTAAACCTTTAAACTGAGCAAATACATGACAAAATGAGACATAAAAGAAAAAAAAAAAAAAATCAACATAAAGCTAACTGTTAGTAAAACACAAATGAAATGTCACTAATTTTTCTTTCAGATATGTTCAACTGTTATAAGTGTAAAATATTTAATGCTACTTGATAAATTTTATAAAGCTGATTTATTCTCAAATTTGTTTTATAATTGTGTTTATTAAACTATGTTTAATAGTAATGCTTTCTACTTGTGGATCTATTTTATTCTTAGGAGAGTATTACAAAAGTGAATTTTAGGAATAGCTCATATCTTTAATTGAATTTATTGAGTTTCCATTTGTTGATGGGTTTAATTTTTTTTATTAATAGTCTTTAAAAATCCTTAAAAAGTACTTAATTTCCATGTTCAGAAACATGTACAAACCCTGTTAAAGTTGCTGCAATTTAAATGTGATATTTTGCAAAAATATGACATTGTTCATTAACTTTTCACAATTGTGTGTGATAAAATTAAACAATGAATTTTAAGACTAAATTATTTTTAGGGAAGGATATTAAGATAAATAATTATATTTTCGAATGTATGTTGAAAATTTTGAATTGTTAAGAATTTTAAAGTGAATGAAATAATTTTGAAAAATTAGTGTAGATATGATAAACAAATAACATTTTTGAGTATTACTACAGAAAATATTAAATGTTTGATACAGAACAGTGTAATAATGTATAAAAATATGAGTAATCCAAGAACTGGAATAATTACTGTAAGTAGTATAGAATTGTTTAAAATTTGCAGATGATTATGTGTTCAAATAACTTTGAAGACTCCCACTTTTATATTTTTCATATATTATTATTATTATTTTAATGGGAGTGAAGTAAATTATATGTACAGTACAAAGTCGAGATCCGGACATAAAAGCATCTCGTATCATTAAGAGAGAAGTGATCGTATATGCATTCACTAATAATAAAATTCATTTATGACACTGTATTTTGCATGAATTCCAGCAAGGAAGAAAAGGTATAGAAGCATGTCAAAATTTAGTGAAAGATTTTGGTGGAAATACAGTTCTGTTTTCGACAGAAAGCCCAAGAGATAGTTAATAAATTTTGAAGCATGTGATTTCAACCTTAATTATAAACCCAGCTCTGGATAGCCATCTTTAATTATTAACAATACTGTTAAGACCCCGATAGAAAAACATACATTTTTGACAGCAGCAGAGATTATAGAAAAGCTTAACTCAAACAACACAACAAGCTTTAACTATTTTGGACCATATTTGTAAACAATGATTGATTTATAACTACAGTATAAAGTCCAAGATTCGGACTCATCAGGACTTTGACAGTTCCGGATTTCGGATTTTTCCGGGTATTAGATCATCAGTTTAAAACTTGTAAGATGACATGCAGAACTTATACAATTAAAAATATGAAATAATGATTTATGAAATAATGAAGCATTTATGATCTAAAGGGTGTTAAAATTTACAAAAAAAAAAGGCTTAATATTTATCTGTTTACTTTATTAAACTAAACTTTATTTAAATATTAATTGCCATGTCAAGAATTCTGACTAACTTGTCAATCAAAATTTCTTCATTTTCAATAACCTCTCTGTCACTTTCTTCACTATCAGTAGTGGCATTTTCTGGATCTAGAACCATACTACAGATTTTGCCGTCCATTAATTAATTGATGATTGGGGCATTGTTATCGCAATGAAAAATTTCTATTGTATCATCTTCATTTATTACCACTTCTCCACATTTCTTTACAAAAATCCATTAATTTGAAAATTTCACCTTTGGTTTGCGATATCAGAAAACCTTCAAATTCGTGGTTGTCATCTTCATCATCCTCACCGTGAAATATGGTAGCTGGCTATAAATTATGCCACACATTTTTTAAAGTATCTGAAGACACATCCTCCCACAATCTTGTAATGCTTCTCATGGCAGATTTTTTTTTTTTGCTAAAATATTTCTAAAATTCTTAAAATCTTGCCGTGACCAAAGAAATTTAACATGGACTTCAAAAATGCTATTTCATATTTGCATTTAAGCATGCGCATTATTCCGGTATCTAAAGGCCGAATGATGGACATACAATTTGGAGGAAAGAACGGATGCATTATCTTTCACAAAAACTCTAACCCTTTCATAACCACTGGGACATATGCCCCACTGGTTAGGTACATTGGTAGTGAAAGGCCTAAGTGAAGTATAAGACGTACAGTTGTCTACAATCAAGACAATTTTTGCATCATCAGGTAAACCAACAGAATTCAAATGTTGCTGAGCCTCGAGTGTGAAGTGATTTTCAAACCAATCATTCTTTAATGGTTGTGTCATCCATGCAGTTTTATTTGCTTGATATGTAACGGAGAAAATCTACTCCTTTAAATGCTAAAGGTTCTGTATTTTTTCCGACTACAAAAAGTTTACACGTGTGCATTCCTTCCTGTAGCATTTGTGCATGCTGAAATTGTTAATCTCGCTTTGGAATCTTTGATACCAGTTGGAGCCTTTTCTGTAGAGGTGTCCAAGGTATTTCATGGCACATATTGCCAGAAAAGACCAGTTTCATCAGCGTTGTAAATTTGTTCTGGAGATAAATTTTCACTATTAGCGAGTTCAATGAATTCATCTGCAAATAGTTCAGCGGATTCAGTGCTATTTAGTTTAATTATTATCTTTACCGAGCAGTAGTTTGTTAATATGATTGTGATAAAATAGCAATAGGCAGCTACTACTGTGAATAATATTTTTAAATACACTGCATAAGTTTTAAAAGTTCTTTGTAACAGTAGCAGTTATATATTGCAATGATTGAATTTATTGCATGTGTAGAGTAGTGGCTGACTGTTGTAAGAATAACTTATCTGTAGTAGTTAAATATATGCTTTAGTACATTTTTATAACCAAGGATTCCATTTTGATATGACCATGTCTTTTTTTAATTAACTAGTAAAAAATTTTCAGACTTGGTGAAAGTTTGTTGGTAGGAAGGATTTTGTAAAAATGTTGCTCATATTTCATTGTATAATTACATTTTTCATCACATTATCTAGTTTGTTATATTTTTATGTCATTAATGTAGACGAAATATATTGCACAATGCATCGAGGAAATAAAGGAAGAATTAAGGCAAGAGAATATATCTGTAAAGTCGAATGCAGTAGCAAAGCTGACTTATGTGAGTTTGGTTATTATTATTTATAATTATTTTTGTATTTTAAATTTACATTTATATTAATTTTGATGAGTATTTGTAAACTTCTTGTTTACTAGGAATTTCAGTTTTTATGTGCATTCCATTAAATTTGATGTAGTACATGCTGAAGAGCCAAAACATTGTGACCACCTACTCAATAATACAACCTTTGGTCTGCAAAGGAGCTGCAACTTGCCTATGCATGGGTGCCATAAATTATTGTTGGATGACTGGAGTCAGGTTGTACAAAATGTCTAAGCAGCAGTCACGCAAAGATGAGGTATTCCGACATGGTGGTGTTTGAGCTCTGAGCTGCTGCTCAATGACATCCCAAATGTGCTCTATTGAGTTAAGATTTGGTTAACTAGGTGGCAACATTAATTGAAATTCATCCTTATGTTCCTCGAACCACTCCAACAGAATTCAAGCCTTGTGGCATGGGGCCATTGTCTTGCTAGAAAATTCCATTTCCAGTTGGGTAGACAGACACCGTGTAATGGTGCGACTGATGAGCAATTATGTTCAGATAGTGTGCAGCTTTCATGGTCTGTTCTACTACAACTAAGGGTTCCTGAGCCACCCATGAGAACATTCCCTAAAGCATAATACTGCCATCACCAACCTGTGTATGCCCTGCTGGTATGGAGGGGGGAGTAGCTGTTTGTCTGGAAAATGGTGTACCCTGATCCGACCATCGACATGGTGAATGAGAATTTGTGATTCATCTGACCAGGCAACTGTCTTCTATTTTTCCATGGTCTAGTCTTAATGTTCCCGGGCTCACTAAGCATAGTTGACAACGACGCTTGGTCAACAGAGGCACATGAGTGAAATGTTTGCTGTGCAGTCCCATATCCAATAGTGTTCTGCTGAACTATGTGTTCTGAAACACTTGCACTTGGACCTGCATTGTATTGGGCTTTCAGCTGAGCTCCTGTCTGGGGCTGATTTTGCTGTACCAAGCTGGATAGTTTCCAACATCCTTTTTCTATGATGACGTGTGGATGTCGTACACCTTTGCATCTACTGCTGGTTTCACTGTCATTTATTCGCTTTGCATAAATACTAACAACAGCAGATCGTGAACAACCTACCAGTTTTGCACTTTCGGAAATATTGGCTTCGAGTCTTCGGGCCATTACAATCTGCCCTCTATCAAACTCGCTTAAATTAGCAACACGTCCAAAAGTAAATGCAAGAATGATTCCTTACGATCTCCAGCAACAGCTAAATACCATTCACTTTCAATGATGTGTCCTTCATGTCATCCAGACAAGTTTATTAAAAAATATGGGGATGGTCATAATGTTTTGTCTTGTCAGTGGGCACACTGTTAAAAGTAATGTTACCTTCAGAATGAGTCATACTGATTTTGTAATTTAGGAAGGGAAGGTACATGTAACTCAGTTAAATTGATTTCCATATGCATGTGACATACAGTACTTTTTATAAGCTGTCCCAGGTACTATGGTTAGTACCTTAATAGTCCCCATGTATGTTACAACAGCTGAGCACCCGATGCTGTAATATTATGTGCATATGAAGTCCTTTGGCCCAACTCACCTTGCATCGTCAACCCATTAGCATAGTGACTCTTTACTTTAGATGGTAATTATGAGGGGATTACAATGGACCTTTTCTATCTGGTATTTTAACCTTTTCACGACGGCGCACCTTTGTTTAAGATGCTCTTGCGGGACGGAAGGGAATCAAAGGCAGTCACTGTACAGGACAGAGGTTTTGCATCGCTATGCCTAATTTTATTAAAAAAAATCAGAAAAAAAAAAAAAAAAAAAAGAATTACTTCTAGCATCGTAATTTTTGGTATCATTTTAGATTATTGCTTGAGCTCTTGTATATGTTAAAATTAGCTCTTAATAACCTTTTTTCCTTTATTTTACATGAAAATATACTTAAAAATTTCCATATCTTGTAAAATAATTTTTGGACGCGCTATTCAAATTGTTCCAAAGTTTTAATTGATAAAATTAATCAATAAAGTTTAAAATTAATAAAACAACACAATAAAGACTATTTACAGCAAGAAGTAACAAAATTTTAAATGAAGACCGAGTGTGGTAAATCTCGAAGCATGGAGAAGTATCACTTTCTAACTCATAGAAAACGTATCACTTTCTAACTCTTTAGAAAAAGAATCATCACTCTCATTTGCGATAGTAAATGGTTCATTAACCATATGAGGGTATTCTTCCTCTGATAAATAGTGCCTTCCCGCCATAATAGATTGGAGGTGAGGCTTTCCGAAATAAATAGAGAAGAAACAGAAATATATCTGAAGGCAATGCAAAACGTAACAGAACTCCACATATTAACTCTAAAAGACTGTATATAGTAGATAGAAAAAATAGAATAAAAAAAGGAATTGGATATAAATCAGACACGCGAATATTTATATTAGCATGCAGTGATTTAAAGAGCCCACCTCTGTTTACGCTGTTCCTCCCCCCTCTCAACAGTTGATGAGTAAAATAACAACGTCAGGCAGAATATATCAAACTCAAGCTCAGGAACCTAAAACTGTGTTCATTTCAAAAGTAATGGACGTAGAATGCCATCTAGTGACCTTAAGAAAAACGTTCCAGCTTAAAGTGTGTATACGCATCACCCGTCCTCTGAATGCAATCTCTAGTGATGCGTGGATGGGACACCCGGCTGTAAGAGCCATTCTTAGGGAATGTGTATATGGGACGCCTGTCCTGAAAGGGTTAATCATTGTAGCATGATGCAAATGCTGTGTGAGATAATAAATGTGCTGACTACGGTTTGAATATATAGTATAAATGGGTACTGTTCTGTTATTAGGACCAGATTCAGAAATGTATGTATGTGTATATGTACATACGCATACATGCATACATTAACACATCCATCCATCCATGCATACATACATTTCTGGATCCGATCCTGATAACAGAACAGTACTTGCAGGTGAAGCACAGTAAAAATGATCAAAGCAATAATCTGTTTTATACTAGCTGCAGTTAGCGAACTGAATCAAATTTTGTGTTTCAGAAATGCAAACTCGTCAGATATCATGTAATAAAATACTGAAGACAAGTAATTCAACAGGGGTACAAATTGCACTGAAAAAGATACACTACATACTATCCTCGTCCTAGAGCCCTAGGACGAGGATAGTCCATATGCACTATCCTCGTCCTAGGGCTCACACAGACTTGATAAATGGTTTGTGGAGTTGCATTAAAATTTTTCTGCAAAGAACTGGCCATCATTAATTCCTTTTGAGATTGATGATTGGAAAACTGTGTCATGTATTGAATGCAATTTCACAGAGAGTTATGAAAATGGTTGTGTATGAAAATAGTATGATTGGATCTATTGTTGAAGTTGATGAAAGAAAAAATATAATCTTGGTAAAAGAGTGAATGGAACATAGATGTTTGAAAAGCTGAAAGGGTGTGTGACACATTTTTTTTTTTTTTTTTTTTTTTGTTCTTTTTCAGAAGGTTACTGAGTAAAAAATGGAGAAAACTCATCTTGAAGTTATTAAGAGAAACATAAAGCAGTATTCTTTGTTAGTGTCAGACTGTTGGAAGGCATGGAATTATTTTCAAGGTTTTACATACCTTTCAGCCAGTGATAATCTGACATTTGAAGACCCTCATTCTAGGGCATACAAAATCTCAAATAAAAGCTTTTGTAGCTCCATAAATGATATCTATATGCAGGTCATGATTTCATTTTATTTGAAATCAATATCGTGAGGATAAGTGTCATGGATTGGTTGTTTTTACAGTGATGTATGTGAGAAATGAGTGTGTACAAAAATAGTATTATTTTAGTTTCTAGTTTGAATGCTGAAACTGTTGAAAGCAGGTTTGTAAAGCAAAAATATAAGCTTGGTGAAAGAATGAGTGGTAGCATTGAAAGGGAGGTCTAACAGTTTTTTTTAAGGCTGTTCAGGAAACAATGAGGAAAACTCTTTTTTTTTTTTTTTTTTTTGTTGTTAATGGAAATATAAAGCAGAGTTCTATAGTTTTCTGAGATTGCTGAAGGGTGTGCAACTATCTTCAAAATGAAGGTTTTTTTTACACCTTTCTGTAAGTCAGTGTGTGACATTTAAGGATCCTGTTTCTAGGGTTTGCACAGACTCAGTTTAAGGTTTGTAGAGTTCATTTAAAAGATCTCTGCATTCAGCTGATGACCCGTGACTTCATTTGTTTTGATGGTGATATGTTGGAGAAATGTTTCATGGACAGAATGGCTTTTTGTACTGAGGTATATATAGAAATATGTGTGTACAAAAATAGTGCGAGTGGACCTATTAATGTGATTTTTGGAATTGGTGAAAGCAAAAATATAATTGTGGTAAAAGTGTGAATGGAATCCGATTGTTTGGAGGCATTAAAAGGCTGTATGACTGTTTTTTCCCCCAATTTTTTTAAGGTTGCTGAGGAAAGAATGAAGAAAATCCTTCTGATGATTATATCAAGAAACATAGAAAATTATTCTATAGTTGTCTTAGATTGCTGGAAGTCATGTAATTCTTTTCAAGATGAAGCTTTTATGCCTTTTAGTCACTTGCAAATGGAACATTTGACGACCCTGTTTCTTGGTCTTAACACAAACTCCATTAAAGGTTTTCAGAGCTCCCTTAAAAAATTTCTGCATGGAACTGTTCATCTGTAGTTTCATTTCATTTGAGATTGTTGCAGAAAAATGTGTCCTGAATGAGATGAGTTTTTACAGAGAGGTATTGTATAAATATTATGTGAACAAAAATAATATGTTTAGATGTTCTTGATCAAAGCAAATTTGGAAGGCAAAGATATAATCTTGGTAATAGGTGAATTTAACCTGGTTTTTTGGAGGCATTGAAAGTGGGTTTGACATGTTTCTTCCCTTTAAGATTCTTGTGGAAAGATTGATGACTACCTTTCTGAGTGTTACTAAACGAGTGCAAAATAGTATAGTGTTTCTCAGTTTGCTGCAAGGCATGTAATAGCAAGGTGAAAGTTTGCAGCTGTCTGCATAAGTTTTACATGCCTTTCTATTTTTCATAGCGTGACACTTAAAAACTTTATTTAGAAGGCTTTCAAAAACTCAGTAGTTTTCTTGGAAGTCCATTAAATTATCTCAGCAAGAAGCTTGCCACCTATGATTTCATTTGTCTTGATCTTGAGACTTTGGAGGAAGTGTTCAATTTCATGATATTTTGTTGAGAAATGTAGAAATATGTATGGCTGAAAGTAATATGATTGCAGGCTCTGAGGTGTGATTGTTGAAATTGATAAAAGCAAAAATATAATCAAGGTAAAAGAGTGAATAAAACCTGGGTGTGAGAAAAATTGACTTTTTTTTTGTTTTTTTGTTAAAGGTTTTTGAAAAAGGAATGAAGAAGTTTATATTATTGATCTTGAGGTTACAGTATTTCTAGGTTTGATTTTATAGATTTCTTAATTTATGAAATTGTCCAAAATACAAACTGACTAGAACATTTTAAGCATTCTCTTTGTTCTTTCTTTTTTGCAAAAAGAAGAGAAATCCTATGCCATCTAACAAAATTTTATTTGTGTTCGGTAAGTGTCATTAAAAAAAATTTGTTTATCAGTGTTTTGCTGATCGTTTGAGTTTAAAAAATATTTTTTTCACCTTAAGAATAAAAATGTTCAGTTATGTTTGTAGGCGAAGCTCTATTATAATAGAATTGCTTCCACTGCACACCACCTGAAGTGTCTTCATAATTAAAATTCAGAGCCCAATATATTACATTCTGACTATATATATATCCTGACTTCCTGAGGTACTAGAAACAAGGCAGAGAATGCAGCAATTAATTAAAGCCATATTGGAATGGACAAACTTGGAGGGGGGGTTACACTGTGCTTATTTAAATGCATGTTAAATAGTTTTTATACATGTAATGTGTTTTTCAAATACTATAAGCAGAGAATATGATAGAATAATTATAATTTATTAAAATTAAAACCGTGTCATTTTTTGTATTTATGTGTGAGATTTTAAAAAGGATAAAAAATATGTTTTCATTTTCCTTGGTAAAATGAATCTTAAAAATTATTTCTGTCTAGAACTACCAAAATGTTTTCACTATATTCAATTAACCTAATTTATAAGATATACTAAATGTCTGAGTTAAAATGACGATTACTGGAGGTGCTTATGCATCAAGAATCAGTGTAATATTAATAAATTTGCAGAGTAGTTTGAATGTTTATATATAGAACCTTCTTCAGCTGCAGAAATGCGATTGACAGAAGAGAAACCTGTGCTCTAGCAGTAACCTGTTTTCTAGCAATAATAGTGAGAGGGAGAAAGTCAAGCTACTGTTTCCATCTATTGACGAAAAATGAAAACTGAAATAATTTTATTACAACCTTAGGTTGAAAATGGATTACAATTGGGATCGTTTGCTAGAACTGGAAGAATTTTATAAATATAAAACACCTCTAGAAAATATAATTCACCAATAGAAGAGGATTTTTTTTTAATACTTTTTGCTGCAGAGAAAGGAACAATGTTATTTTCTGAGCAACAGTGTTGGGCAAAAGACAATTTATGTGTTTCTTTTTTCTTAACATATGCCTCATATTCCTTCGAATGAAATTCTAAGACTGCGTTAATTAGACCAGTGTAAATTAAACCATATTGCACTAGGAGTCTTTAAACATGGAAAAGGGGCTTTAAATATGGAACTGTGAATTTTATTGCTAGAAAAATGACCAGAAAGTTGGATTTCTGTAAAATGCATGTATATTTATGGCTAATCGATGGAAAGAAGGGAATGACAACAGAATTCTTGTAATCTCCTAAAACTAGAGAGTGCTTTTTTTTTTTTTTTTTTTTTTTTTTTTTTTTTTTTTTTTAAGATGAGAACTTTTTAAGTACTTGGTCAGTAATGGTAGGTGTAAAGCCTCTGTCAGTAACTGCTTCTAAGTAGTTTAGTTCTTGATCAAGGGCCAACTTAGAGGAAGAGCAAATCTGAAGTGCCGAGGAAACTAAGGAATAAGATGAAGGTAACTTCTATTTAATTGAATGGCATGATCTGAAGTTTGGTGGAAGGCGTTTTCATTGTTATTCCCTGAGAACACAAGCTTCTCTTTTATCACTTGCACTTCTGCAGCTGAGTACATAGATTCTATATTGAAGCCTTCAAAACAGGTCCTGCAAATTTATGAATATTATACTTACTCTTGTTGCCTTGGTGCCTTCAATAATATTTTAAAGGTATTTAAAGAGTTCCCTATTAACATGCATCCCTATTAACTATTGTAAATAATTGGGAAATACTGATATATACACGCAGCTGTTGTGTATCTACAGAATTTGATAGTTTTCCTCAGACTTTACTTCTGGTGTAGATGATGGTGGAGAGAAATTTACTAGAGGTATATGGCATTCAGAACACGGGCATTGATTGCAGTAATGCGATAAATGGTAGTAACTTTGTTGCAAAATATTATTTAGAAACAAGCAGTGATCTTATATATGTATTTTGATAAAACATTATTCTGTTATAATATGAAAGATCATGTGTGGCTTAAATAGGCAACACTTTTGTTTCATGTTAGATTTTTTGACTAAATGAAAATAATACCCGAAAGAGTCTTAAGTTATTAAAGGACATTAAATTGCAAGTATTTGAAATATGCTAAGCTGAAATTATTTTCTTGAAGAGTGGACGAACTTTGGTAATTTTTGCAAAGTATAATTAGAGTGAAATGTAATCTTACTCACAAAATATATTCAAATATTATCAGAGATATTGCATATACTTAGAAAAAAATCACAAGTATGCAGGATGTATTAAATAAAAGTAAACCCAGATCAAATTTCAGTAGAAGACTTCTTTTGTTAGTGTATATGTAACATATTGCATTGTGAAGCATGTAACACTCTTGGGGGTGGCAGAATAACAGCACAAATGAGCATGTTCTCAGTTTTTTAGGTGCAGTTTTATATGTGATGCTGTATAGAATAGCAATAAAAAATTTCAAGTTTTTTACTAAAATCATAAAAGAATAAAAATCATAAATCTTGCATTTAAAATGTGTTCATTTAATTTGCACAGGTGTCTATTTAATTTACATAAGTGGTTTTAAATTCAGCTGTGTTAAAACTAATAATCATTGCAGCCCAGTTTTTGTTCACAGAAGGCATATGTTGAAGTATTTAAGGTTGCAGCATTTCCATATTTTAAGGAAGTAAAGGCATTTTATTCTAAAGCGTACGGAAAAGTATACAAAATAAAAATATTACTTTGAGACACAGAATAGCTCCTTAATTGATCCACACCCTTAGCAGCAGATGAGTGATATGATGATTTAATAGTTTGAACCCATTCATTTGCTTGTGCGGTAGGGCAGCTACGTTGTTGAGTTGGTGCATGGACCAGCAATGCAGTTTTATTTCTTATGATCAGAAGTTGTTAAACCTTCAATCTGCAGGAAAATGGAGTTTCAGCATGGATACCATTCTCTAAAATTAGAAGATTTGGTAACGAACATCAGAGTAGGAGAACATTTAATGTGATAGCTGTGATGGTGAAATAACAGATCAGCCAGCAAATATGTTAACCATGGGCAAATCACTACTGATTAAATTTTTCATTGACTTCAAGAGTCATTCTTTGTATGATCTTGACTGAGAAATAAAGTATCAGCAAATGGCGCTCAAGGCAGCTATCCAATGATTCCCAAGCCTACATAACAGATGATTAGTCAGAATTATTTAGATCATCATGCTCATGAAGGTTTCTTTTCCATTGAAATGTGATAAATAGAGAACTCTTACGTGAACAATTATGAACCAGGGAAATAGATGTAATAGATGTAATGGAACCATCTGTCATTCTATCTGGTCTAGGAAAAAAATCATGATACAAGCATCCACACTGTCATTGAAGTCATGCTTACCTATTTTGAGGATACCAATAGAACTACATTGGTGTATTTCCAGAAAAATGACTGTGTATGATGACTGTGTATGATGTGGCGACAATGCTGATGAACAAGTTGAAATCAATGATATGATTGAAGTATTGAAGACTTCACTGAGAAAAGAAAGTTGTTTCATGACAGTGCCTATCCCCTTTCAGGTTTGAATCAGTGCATACTAAAAAATTTGAGGTGTAGAAACATGCATTGTAGCATTCTGATTTGGCACCATCAGATCTTTGAAGAATGCAAGCGACAATGAGATACTACTGGCCCTAACTAAAGCTCCCCCCTTCTTGTGGATAAGTGTATCAAATGTATTGTGAAGTTGGCGAATACCAAAAATAAAACCCAAATACTTCCTTTCTATGCAGTTAAAAAATTCCTGTTATTTAACAACTATTCATCAATAGTGGTTAGTCAGTTTGTACTTGAATTTTATTCTATTTGTATATCATATTTTCCAAAATTATTAATTCATATTTCATTTTAAAGTTACAAATGTTAGGCTATGACATCAGCTGGGCTGCTTTTAATGTGATTGAAGTAATGAGTTCTACTAAGTTTACTTTCAAGGTAAGTTCCATTCCTCGTGTGATTCCTTAGTTAAAAATTCCATATTTGATATTTCAGCCTCCACTCTCTATTCTATATTAATAGTTTTATAAACTCTTATATTTTTCCTAATGTTTGTTCCATTTTGCATTTCTATGTTCAATATTTTAAGTATATGTATATTTTTTAAAATTAAAGAAATAATTATTTTATTGTATGCTGATTATGTGGTTTACAAAATTTTCTATTTTCTATACTTAAAATGTTTTGATTGTTAATGTGATATTTTTACCAACATATGCAGATCTTTTGTAATTTGCCATTAAGCTTTCATTGATGTACTGTCTTTTGTTACAAGCCCAGTTTTGTTGGCTAATTCTGCTTTGACTAGTATTATAATATACTCTGGATACTGGTATTTATTAAGCCAGTTATTTATCAGTGAGTAATTTGCATGCATAGTCTGGATTGGTTGCCCCAAAACAATTTTTGACAATTGACACATTTAAGAATGTCTGAACTTGTTTCAACCCCTCCTCCTTTAATTAACTTTAACATATGAAAGTTTGAAACATTGTCAGATTATGAAAGCTTGTCATGAAAACTGGTGAAGATGTCGCCAAATACGTCACTCATTCCAATAGAGCTTAAATGGAATAGATCATCTTATTTATTTAATCAATAGATACAAGTTACGTATATAACCTGTAAAAAATTAAATCATTTGTCATAAATTTTGATATTACATAGCCATTTTTTATCCATTTTACATATACTTTTCTGCTGTCAGAATCCAGTAACTTTGAAAATTGTTCATTAATGCTTTTCCATAGAAGTGCAAGTCCTGAAGTGTAACAATTTTTTCAAAATGCCAGGGAAAAACAAATAAATAGCAGTTAACTTATATCCACAAAAAATCAAGCCAGCTTATCGAGATTTTACTGGGTTTATATGAAATTAAGTCAAAGATCAAGTGATTGTGTTGTGATATCATGCTTATTCATTTCTGACACTGAATCACACTGTTTGGCGACTCTGTCATAATAGCTTTGCAAGTCCTTTATTTGCTTAATTTTTTTTTGGGAGGAGAGGGATTTATAAAATTATGAAATATTCCCATTAGTTGAATGCAGGAAGTTGCTCTTTTACTGTATATAACACCATGTCCGCAAACACCCAGCTTTATTTATTTATTTATTTATTTTTTTTTTGGTCCTTAGCCAGCTTTATCTTTGCAGCTGTTGGTTGTTGACTTATACTTCCAATTCTAAAAAAATACTTTCCATGATGCAAATAGCTAGGTTTTGGCATATTTAAATAAGAAAAGGAATCAGTTTATAAAAATTATGAAATTTAGATATTTTTAGATTATTATATGGTCTTCTCCTTATATTTAGAAAATTTTATGCTGATTATAAAAAGCAAAAAGCTTTGACTTCTGTATTGCAAAAACTGACCGAAATATTTAATTTAGAAATTTTGGATGTTTAACAATTTCAACTAGCATTGAGATGCCAGTTAATAAATAAATTAGACTATTTTATGGTGTATTTTTTAACTTAAATGCCTTTCAATGATATTCCTTTGTGATTAACTAATAATACATTCATTATACATTTGAGTACTAATAATATATTTCAGTATTACATTCTTTGATTTGGAATTTTGTTACAGTTGTTCGGCAGAACAGTTTTCATACAGGTAGTTTACAAGTTTTCAAATGCTAAAAATACATTATTAATATTCATATGAAGTTAATTGCTTTAGAATCATCATGTAACCATTTTACAAAAAATTTATTAAGCAAGAAATAATTTTAATTTTTAATTTGTGCGAATAATGTTAGAAACTACCTATGTGCCAACCATGAAGCTTATGAGTGTTTATAGAATACAAATTCTGTGAGATTGTGGCAGTAATATCTCCTTTTTTTTTTGAAAAAACATTATATTTATTAACATTTTTTGCAGTAATGTGCAGAAAAATGCTCTTCACTTAATCTGTTAACATCAGAAATGGTTTTCTAAACTTTTAATTGTATACAAATGCAAGCATTTCACTCTTCAGTTTTGTGTTTGTTTTTCTTGCTTAGTTTTTGTCATAGTGTAGTCATACTTTTTATATTTCTTTTTTTTATTGCTAGTATAAATTTTTCCTAATTATAAATATGGTACTGGAGGAATGTAGAAAAAATTGTATTTATGATTTTTGCAAAATTGATTTTTTAAAATTAAAATAAATGTCAAAACATGAATATTTACATTATTTAAAATATTTTTTAAACTGGAGGTATATGTCTATAAGTAGCAGTTTTGAAAATGAAGGCTGGGTAAGGACATTTTTATTGATATTTAATTTACTTACTAATCTTCAATAGCAACACTGAGTTCGAATTGACATTCTCAATGTACTGATTGACTCAATGTACTGTAATTGACTTTTCTTTCCCTGGAGGGTCAATATCAATACTCTGGAGAGTTCTGGTTTAGATGTATGTATTACATTGATTGAAGCTAGTCAGTAGGAAAACAAGAAAGAATCATCGTACTTTATTGATTGGAAAAAGGATTGGATGAACACATATTCTGTATGTGTAGCTTTAAATGCATTCTTTTATCTTTGTGCGATGTTAAGTAATGTTTATTCAGAGTTTGATAGTTCTGTATAAGAATGTTGAAATTGTTTCAGGTTTCAAATAACTTATATAACACTGACTTCCAGAATTCAGCCATGGAACTAATTTTCTACACTTAAAGCTATTCCATTTGAAGTTTGAATAGTACTTTGTGTAGTGTTAGCGAAGAGTGAAGAATAGATTCTGGCAGTGTATTGAACAAAGTGGAGTAAGGTGCAAGCGCTGCTATAGAAGGCTTATTCTTATCAGCAGGCATATTCTTGCTAATGTTTGAAAAGATACTGTTGCAGTGATTCTGAATGTAGGAGGAGATAATGTGCTGGATTGCTGTCTGAAGAAAAAGCTTAGAGTGTTTAAAGCTAGAATGTAAAGCTTAGAAGGAAAATGATATTCATTATGACAGTTACAAAAAATTCTTGTTCAGGTAGTATTCAGATGTGTATCAGAATTCTTTATGGCAAAGCCATTATGGATAATCAATGGTCAGCCACATTTTCATAAAAAATAGATATGGCATAGTTTTGGACACTTATTTTTAATAAAAAATTTTCATACTTTTTCATGAAATAAACCTAAAGATTTTCCTTTTGGCATTTTATGTAAATTTATGTCTCAATAAATGAAATGATACATATCTCTAGTCATGGATATCCCCTCCCCCCAAAAGAATTTATTTTTTACTTTTATTACTGTTAGTTTGAAACTATGAAAACCAGTCGGCAAAATGAGTGATAAAAATTAATGTCTTAATAAATTTTTTTGGAATGCTGGTGGTCTTTTGACCATTTCATTGAACTGAAATTTGCTGTATGACTTGAAGGGCGTTATTGAGAGTGGTACTTCTGCTGAAAACTTAGGCTTTTACCATATAATATATTGCTTTCTAACTCCCATAGGTTCCGTAAATGTTGTTCGTAATGTCTGTAAATGTTTCATAAATGTCTCCCAGTTGTTTTAATGAGTTTGTGTCTTCAGCTCTGTATAAATGACCCAACCATCGAATCTTGTGGCTTTTTATGACTTGACAATATCAGGCTGTGTAAATTTTTGGTAGATTTCATGATTATACATTGATATCAAAACATCATTTTCACAAACAGTGCCAACTATTTTTCTTAGTATTTTATGTTCAAAGATCAGTAGTTCACTTTCAATTACAGGGTGGTTATAATTAATGTTCCTCTTTGACATGATCATAAAAGGAAAACTAGTAGACCATAGACCTGCCGTAGACCTTTGGTCAGTATAGAAAACTTCAGATAAATCATTACCAACTCTGCATTTTATTCTTTTAAGTGTAGCTTTTGCTAGATTAATTAACTTAGGAGGTATTTCAAATTCCTCCATTGCCTTGTATAGTTTCTGCGGATTAAAGCTGTCATGCACAGCTTTAAAGTTGATAGAAAGATAGCAGGTGCAAATATTTTACTTTCTTGTTTTCTTCAGAATCTGCCTCAGGGCATGAATTTAATGAGTAGTTGACCTTCCCCTAAGAAATCCACACTAATACCATCCAATGACTTTTTCAACATGTGGTAATAACATCTTGTAAGGAACACAAGAGGAAATTTTAAAAATAGTATTCAAGAGAGTAATTCCGCGGTAGTTGCAACAGTCTTGTTTATCACCTTTTTTAAAGATGAGACGGATGGAGCCTTCATCCCATTCAATGGGCATCTGGTCCGATGTTCAAACCCTGCAAACAATAGCATGTATAGCCTTAATCAGACCAGGTTTGTGAACCTTCAACAATTCAGCGCTAATCCCATCAGGGCCCACTGATCTGTTTCGATTAAGTTTCTTGATTGCAGATTCAATCTCAAAAAGACTTGGTAAATAAAGTTCTTGTTCATCAGTATGAAGAGGAAATATAATTCTATTGTCTGTATCTATAGTGACGTTACCATGGAGCAAATCCTTAAAATATTCCCTACATCTTGCTAAGATCTCATTCTTTTCATTCTTTATTTGTACAGCATATTCCGTTTGGCAGGAATCTTTCCTAATATTGTTTATCAGCTGATAGTATTTTCTTAATTTTTCAGGGACCTGAGCTTTTCAATTTTCCTGTACTACTCCTCAAATTTATATCCCTACGAGACTGAATAAAAAGTCTGATCAATAAAATTGCTGAATTGTTACCCAATGGGATTTTTGAGCCCCAATTTAAAATTTTAAAAAGCAATGAAAAACTTTACATTTTTACAAGTTTAATGGGAGATATTTCTCATGTATAAAGAAATATAATAAAGTGGCAAACTCTTTTTAGAAAAATGAATTAAGTTGGGACATAAGGGTTTCCCAAGGACTGTATAGAAGCTTGCCTGCGGGGAGCTATTAAAGGCCAAGCATCACGTCTTCTGAGGTTTTGTAAAGGGTCTTGACT